TGGGGGGAGGGGCAAAACAACCTGTCAAAACACATTTATATCTGGGAAAATATAGATACTGATGCTTGAGGCCAAGCAATGACATGTCAACAACTCAATTCAGCAGCAATAGTGAGGACGGTCTTCTGAAGTAATTAGGTCCAAACCCCCCCCACTCCACCCCCCCTCGTGGGTCCACATGTTCAGTCCACATTGACAAACATCAAAGGTGTCTTTAATTTAGTCTTAAACTGAGCCAATAAAACTAAAAGCACTTGTACTCTATGGTCCATCGGTCCATGGTTCAGTGGAACACAGAACCATGAACAGATAAACAGATAAATAAAGGATGAGCACCAACATTTTCTACATCTTTACAAAGGTTTAACTGAGAAAACCGAAAAGGGGAACATTTTTATTAGTTTTAAAAATCATTCTAAAATATTTATACTAAAAATAATCTGTGTCTGTTCTGACATTTTGTCTGCTGTGAAAGTGTGTGAGAATCTGTGAAGACTCGTGATTGGTCAACACGTGGTTAGCAGCATGTCAGCTGGTGTAGAGCTGGTGGTGGTGCCACATCATCTGTCCTTCAGGGGTATCTCATCTCAGCCCCAATTCAAAGGTAAAGCCATTTAAGGAGACCTTAAGGGTCACCAACCGTGTCAGTCAGTGGGCTCAGGTGAACACCTACCTGCAGGCCCATGTTTCCCATCAAGGGAACCCTGTAGTCATTCATTCTTCCTCTGTGGCCTCCTCGGAAATCTGACATTCCAAAGCCTCCTCTTCCTCTGCCTCCCCGTCCTCCTCCTCCTCCTCCTCGTCCTCCTCCTCGACCACCATAACGGTTCTGTCTTCTTTGCCGTTCTTGCTCCTCAAACTCTTTGAGATCCTGCTTGGCTTTCTCTGACAATTCTAATGCAACAAAGGAATGAGAGCAAATGAAGTCCACCTCCAACAGGGTTCATCTTCAGCCAATCAAGGATCAGGTTTGACAGTAGGACGCTCGTCTCTAATGTACCTAGTGTTTCAGGGATGTTCCTCCGTTTACTCCCAGCGTCAGCCAAACGAACACCTACGCTCTCTTTCCTCTCAGATTTGAACCGCAACCGACCGGACTCTTCAGTGTCGTCGTCCTCCTCATCCGACTCCTCCTTGGCTTCTTCAGTTTCTACCTACACATGTTGACAAAGGTCAAAGGTATAAATATACTCAATAGGTGACATAACAGATGATACTATTCACTGTCTAAACAAGCAGTGGCTGTGCAGTGAATTCCTTTAATACAGGGAGAGGAGCGACTGTCCAGTCTGTCCAGTCTGTCCAGTCTGGACTGTGAACCAGGCTGAACTTTAAGATTGGTACAGAAATAAATCCTCCTTTATTTAATCAGTTTTATTTGTTTTAGTTTAGCCTAGTACTGGGTGACTGTCTAAGAATTTGGAGACGTGACATTATGAGCTCTAGGTTTTTCTGGTTGATATTTTTGCTGGTATAAAACAGTAAAAAGTCCCTTTTTTAACTGGTTGATATTTTTGCTGGTATAAAACGTCAGTAAAAAGTCCCTTTGTTAGGTAAACCACCAATTTTGTACCTGGATTTGTCAAACTGTGGACTCCAAATGGACTACAGTAAAAACAGAGGTGTAATGAAACAGTCTTATGTCAGAGACCTGGTCACAAACCTCTGTGTTAAAGACCTGAGAGCTGTCTGCAGCTTCTTCCTCTTCCTGCTGCTCTCCCCCCAGCCCCACCTCCTCGGGGGCCTCCTCCTGTTGGACTGCGTCTTCATGCAGAGGCTCGTCATTGTAGGAGCTCTGATATTCACTGTCCTTTAAAGATGGCAGGGATAAAACGTATTGATTTGGTAGAAAGTCACAGCAGAACCATGACAAGAATGTCTTCAACACTGGTCCTCCAACCAACAACCATGTCTTTACAGAGACACGCCGTAAACACAACAACCATGTCTTTACAGAGACACGCTGTAAACAGAGAGAGTCCTTCTGATGACTACCATAAACAACTCCAGAATCAATTACAATATTTAACAATAACAGAGGCAGAAACATTAGGTAGAGATGAAATTTTACATAATGTGAGGGCATACATTAAAATGTCATGGGCAGAATTTTTGGAACCAGCCCCTCCGCCACCCAAATTACCATAACAGTGGGAGCAAGGCTTCATTACTATTCCAGACAGCATTTGAAATTCAATGAGATGTAAATGTTTGACATGTTATACAGAAATGCTGGCACAGAAAAAAAACACACACACACACAGCTCCGTGATTCAGTGCTGGTGAAAATATCAAAAAGTGATGTTCCTGGCTCCACTCACGGCTCACGACTCGGAGCTCAAACACCACTCAGGATTTGTTTACATTCACAGAGAGCACCAATCAGAAATGTTCTCTTTAGGAACCTGGATTCACATTATGACACAACCACCTCACACACTCACACACTCACACGCTCACACTCACACTCACACACAGTAAAGAATATCTGCAGATTGTCAATCAATTCAACCTGTACCAGACAGAGTGACATTAGGAGAATATTGTACTTTTTTACCAACTGTAACAAAGAGCAGCGTGAGTGGTTCAGAGTCAGGCTGAGAGATCCAACCCATGAACTGATACTGACGCCTGTCTCCGTCTTCTACGACGGCAGCTCGTTACTCAAACGTACGACCAACTCAACACCACCTGACAACAGTCTGTGGCTGAATAAGGTCAGACTGTAGGTCACACAGTGGTGTTTGATGCTGCGCTTCATTAACCTGAAAAACAGACGCACATAATACTGCAGCAAAAGAAAAACACACACACACACACACAGAGAGAGAGACCCGGGGTAAAGCTGAGAGATGGACAGGATGTCCCAGAGGAACACAACAGCTTAATCCTTTAAACTGTTCCACATACGACTCAGTAAATAACATGGGGAGCCAAATGTCAAGGCCAGGCACTTCTGTGACCTTGCATACACTCGTTACACATGACACAAAGCACACAAACCTGCAGACATTCTCTAAAAATTCAAAACCTGCGCCCACGTGTGCCGTGCACGCTCACTTGGAAGGTCAACATTCACTTATCTTTGTTTGGAGGGAGGCGGCCGGCTAATATATCTCTGTCAGGTGCCAAACACCATCAGGTTTGGCTAAATGGACCATAACGGACATTTGCACATGGATCTCATCTTATCTTTGATCCCCTTAGTCTGGGCTAAGAGGAGGGGGGGGGGCAAATAAAAAGGAAACTCACATTAATCATTAGAAAACTGTATGGGGTGTCCCCACCAAGGTCAATAATCTTTTCACCTGCGTCAGACTTTATCAGATCCAGTCTAAAGCCCCAGATAAAGGCTCCCCCACATTAACCTCCGTCAATTGGCAGCACATCTCCGCAGCACAAAGGGGCTCCTTACCCCCCAGTAGATACAAGGCCCAAGGTCACAAAGGCTCAGGCGTTCAGAGCAGACAGCAGAGAATTGCATCAGGCCGAGCAAGCTGTCAACGTAAACTTTGTCAGCAAGAAGGTGAAATTAACTGGCAGGGAGTGATAATGCTTCTTACCCTCCCAAAATACCCCAGCAAACATCTCCTTCACCTGAATAGATTTCCAGTCCTGACATTATCACACGGATCCAATAGAGACGGAGCAAAAGGCGTGAGAGGTCGTTTGTGCCAGAGGTTTTACAAGCACATCATCACAGAGAGTGTGTGTGTGTGTGTGTGTTTTAATATAAACTAAGACATGAACTCAACTGAAGTACCAGAAAATTCTAGTTTTCTTGGAAATGAGTCAGATTCTATTTACAAATCAAAAACTAAATGAGGAACCGTCACGACAGATTCTGTCAAAAAGAAGTCGTTCCTCAAGAACTCTCATTTTAATAGATAATACCAGACGTCTTTTGTTCATTGGGTAGGGACCGCGGGGGCGGCGGCCGACCACTGCTTAATCACTGCTGCCACTGCTTTGAGTTTGTACATTTGAAGAAGACTGTGTAGAAACTCACTTGAAATTCCCCGTCCAGGGGCTCATTGATCTGGATGTCCAACACTCCGTCCTGATAACCTTCTTCCTCCTGTCCAAGCTCTTCGTTGTACTCCATCGGGTCTTCAGGCACCTCTGCATCCTGACCGTAGTCTTCGGCATACTCCCCCTGCTGGTACCCATCGTCCCCCACATCACCTGTGTACTCGTCTTCCTGCAAGCTGTCATGATGTTCGTAGGACGTGTTCAAACTGTAGGTGGCGTTGAGGCTCACGTGCTGACCACTAGAAAAAAAAAATTTAAAAATGGAATGAATGAATTCCAGAAGAGTGTAGATAACATTTGTCCGTCTTACAGCTAGAACCATGACTGAAGAGCTCACCCCATGTTGACGTCCTCATCATCACTCTGTAACAGGTCATCATTCAGCTCCTCGTCCGATAGTTCTGAAGGATTCTGAAACAAAACAGGACGTTTCTTTCTAAAAACTGTAACACTTTGGTGTGTTAGGGGGGGGGGAGGGTGGGGGGTAGGGGGGGCAACACCTCCAACCACAGAGGGACGCTTTATTCCCATGTGGTGAAGGCAATCTGGGCACTTCCTCCAGGTTGACATCAACAGCTCCCCCTGTGGAGGAGCCACCTGCTACAGCCTCACTGCTGCTAATGAAACCCTCTATAAACAACAACACCCAGGGTTCTTCAGGGCCACGTCTACATCTGACTGAACACAACACAACATCATGACATTTGGTAAGATGAGATTTGGTTCAATCCTACCTTTTTACCTGGGGCCCAATCGTCCTCCAACAACTCCTCCTCCAGATCCTCCTCCAGATCACTGTTCAACGAAAGAACAGACAGACAGGTCCGCACAGACAGACAGGTCATCAGAGAGACAGCACAGACAGATAGGTCAGCACAGACAGACCAGTCAGCAGAGAGACAGACAGGTCAGAAGAGAGACAGCACAGACAGACCAGTCAGCAGAGAGACAGACAGGTCAGAAGAGAGACAGCACAGACAGATAGGTCAGCACAGACAGGTCAGCACAGACAGGTCAGCACAGACAGGTCAGCACAGACAGGTCAGCAGAGAGACAGCACAGACAGACACCAATATCCTCATTATTGTAATGGTTGCTGTGTTTAAACCTCGATGCAGCTGATTTATCTACGTGATAACAGGCAGAAGGCTAAGTACCGCTCTGGTTGAACTGGTTGCCAGCTCATCTCAGGGCCAACCAACATGTATGAACACTCACATTCACACCTACGGTCAATTTAGTGTCCAATTTAGCCTCATGCCTGACCAGCATGTTTCTGGACAGATGGAGGAAACCAGAGAAAGGTCATCACTCGGGCCAGACGACCGACCGCTGACCTTTTGTTCTGAGGCAGCATCGCTAACAATATTTCCTCCAATGTGTTTTGTAGGTGAAGTGTTGAGGCTGTGCATCTCTCTACGAGAACTGAAAACTTTTAAAACATTTTACCTCTCGATATCTTCGTCCGTGCCTCTCCGTCTGCGTGACCGCTCAGCACCTGGTTTGTTATATTCATCAAAGTACTCATCTGGAAGAGAGACAACGTGTTCACATCACACACCGTCCACAGGCATAGACAAAATCCAAGTGGCATAAACACAGCAGACATGTTCATCAACACAGAAGATATATATGCATATATGTGTGTATGTGTGTGTGTGTGTGTGTGTGTATACATATATATAAAAATATAAGCGACATGAAAATGTCTCTCTACAAAACCTTTCCTAAGATACAGTAACCTGCTGCAGGGTCCCACTACTATCACATGTTTATATCCGTCCACAGGGAGTGTGTGTATACATATATATAAAAATATAAGCGACATGAAAATGTCTCTCTACAAAACCTTTCCTAAGATACAGTAACCTGCTGCAGGGTCCCACTACTATCACATGTTTATATCCGTCCACAGGGAGTCCTGCTGTGGCAGCGCCACCTGTAGCGCCACCTGCAGCAACCTCAACAGTGCATATACAGAGTTGCTATTGAACCTTGATTCTCGTACTTCAGATGACACAGAGAAAACACTGCTGACAGTTTAGAGGTTATAATATATAAACCAGGGATAAAACCACAAAGGACCACAGGTATAATCACACATTCATGTCCTGTGGACTACTGCGGTGGCGCCCCCTAATAAAGGGACAAACAAAAAGTGACTCTTCTTCTTCACTTATAATTATGCGGTACAATTTAGTGAAAGAGCCACCGCTGATTTGCTTCATCCTCTCCATGAACCACAGACAGAAACACACCAACACCACAACAGCGTTTGTGTGTTTTTACACAACTACGTCTCTCTGGTGTTTTTAAGGTTTAGACTGGTTACATTTATACTGTGTGGACTCTGGACCCATCGTTGGCCACATCACTGGCATCATCAGGTAACAGGGTCTTTCTTCATCATACACCCTGTTCCACAGGGCCCAGCTGGGGTAGACCAAGCCCCAGCTCGACTCAAGACAGCTAGCCACTGTGACAGATGGCCGTCTTCTTCTTCTTCTTCTTCTTGATCTTGTTTTTGTTTCTCACTCTGGACAAAGTGTGTCTGCATCTTTTTAAATGCCCACACTAATGTTCCTATACTTAGGTCCAGTCCTTTGAAGTCCATTCTCCTTTTACAAGGAGTTCTTACTTTTCTGTGATCTTTGGAATGGACATCAAAGGAACACACCTCCCGAGGCCCTGTAAGATCATGCCCACTGGGGCATCAATCTGTGGTGCACACACACTGCTACTGCAGCACCTCTATTCCCAGGGATGCCGTCAGCCAGAGTTGTCCTAGTGGAGACCATAAATATGACACGGCGTCCCTTCTACTGACCTCCACCAATCAGTTTTACAAAAACACAGTTTGCAATGTGTTGTGTGGGCAAATGATGCGGGTGCCATTTTAGTAGTGTCTGCATCGAGAGGATCAACAGAAGAAGATCTACAACAACTGGGGATCCACTGGAAAGATAAAAAGGGCTGGCCCAGGACCACCACCATGTAACAATGCCCCGGTTAAACAAGACAGGGCCAACACCATCCAAGAACACACCTTACCTGAACCCTTCCACTGAAGGCTCTACGACTGCACTGAGATTTGCACCCAGATAGTTATGTCAATGTTCATATGAAAGGTTAACGTAAGGAACCACATTTTCTGCCCACATAAATGTGTATAGACAGATATCTATCCGTCCGTCCATCTACTCGTCCATTACCAACCACTTCCCTTCCTTTCATGGTTGTGGGGGCTCTGCAGTCAATCCCAGCCGTCAACAGACTAGGGCAGGATACGGTACACCCGGGACACTTTGTCTGTCCCTCAGTGGGCCACAACAACTATTAATGCTCACATTCATACTAATGGGTCAGTATCTGTACTACTTCAATTCCATTGGCTCACTTCTTAGCATGTATGGTACCGTTTCTATGCAGTATGGCCTGGTCCTGTACGAGTTAAGGTTCCCATTTGTACTGCGCCACAATTACGCACATATGCAAAGTGTGACATAAACGTTGACACTACACCAACACACTCAATGTCATTCCTGAGAATGTAATGACACTGAACTATGTCAAGTCAATAAAGTCAGTGGCACAGATCACATAATAAACACCAACGTTGGTTTGGTGGAGCCAAAACAGCTACGTTTTAAATGGGTTGAACGTAGCAAGTTAAGCATAAAGAACAGCAGAAAGTCAAACTTTTAAAATGTTAAGTAATCGATAAAACAAACCCGAAAAGGACAAACGCGACGTCGCGCGAATTTTTGGATGGCTGACTCTTTAGCTACTTTTTACTCCGCAGATGCTAACAACTAACAGCCATTAAATTGACGTACTATTAATTGATTATAATTGATAGAGTGAATGTTCATAATGCAGCATTAACCGCACTAATGCAGCGTTGGGTATTTATCATTCATTTGTAAACGTTTGCTGCAACGCTACAGAACAAATCCATTGGTTCATGCTAACTGTAACTAGCCCAACAAGACCCAGGCTTGACCTGAGGCCTACCGTCGCAACACTAACGTTTTGGTGTACCGTGGGTTCAGTAAATGCACTCATAGTGTTTAATAAGAAGCAGCACAAATATAACCGAGGTCCGTTTAGTTGCCTGTAAACGTGACGGGAGTTTTCCCGTTGCTCTCACTAAGCTAACCGTGTTAGCTACATTAGCAACCACCGCTATCTTTACCATTATTTCTATACACCGCTGTCACTACTCACCCTGAGCGTTGGATGACATGACGCCGCTGGGAATCTTTTTCACGAAGCCCGGACTGGCATTGACTCCTGGATGTGTCGCCAGTTGTAGAATGACAAACCAAACCAACCAAAACAGTATTCGAACAAATCAGCTTCTATGCGACAGATGGATTTCCAATACCGTGCAACCGGAGCGGTACAAACATGGCAGAACTGAGGCGGCAGCGATGATGCATTGTGGGCGAAAAAAAAAAAAACAACCCCCTCCACCTTCACCGACCGTGATTCCTGCTTTACAAGACAGAGACTGCAAACGGACAGAGTTGGACTCTCGTTGTGTCTGTGGACGTTGTTTTTATAATGATAAACAGAATAAATCGAAGGCAACACGTCGAAGCAAAACGAGGCATTTTTAAAGCGCTTTGGATTCAGCGGCGGAAACGCAATCCTGAAAACACACGTTTATTATTTTAACTTTTAATCATAACAACTTCATCATTGCAAATTATTATTATTATAATTATTAGTAACAATAGTATTGTTATTATTATTATTAATGATGTTGTTGTTATTATTAGCTGTAATAATAATATCGACAATCCATGTTCTTATTAGAATTCATATAAATACACAGTTTCTAAAACTAACAGAAGAAATGATTCATACATTAAATAAACAACTGTCCATTCAAATCAAAAACTGTTTAAAAACAATGATAGTAGAAACACTAAAGTTTAGTGGTGAATTTAGGGGCTTCCTAAAAACCGTGATGTCAAAGACACTAGCGTGTTTCTGTCAAGAGAAAACTAGATTTCCTTATTTATTTTTTATTTTTGTATTTTATATTTGGGTTGTTGGGTTTTTTGTTTTTACAATCCTTGAACAACTTGTTGACAGGTTATAGGTTCTTTCTTCAAGACTGGGTTTAAAAGGAGCGTCCACCTCGTCCTGTGCTTTGTCTAAAATGCAGCATTTCTCTTTGGAAGAGAGAATTATGGTCTGTCGACATCCTTTGACCACTAGACCATGGTTTGACCCAAAAGAACTGGGCTGATGTGCTGTAACTGGTGGTCTTTCTGTGTGAAGTACAACATTCTGCCACAGTCCAAAAACAGGTGGATTAAGGGGTGAATTCTTCACACTAAACTGACTGCAGGTGTGAATGTGAGTGAAAATGGTTACTTCTACAAGTGACCACGTGACGGAACGTCCAGGGTGTAACCTCGCCTGCACCTGATGACCGCTGGGATCTCTGCTGAAGCTACATTCATGACAATCACATCACAACGTCGTGAATTCAACAAGACACGGACAAACACTGTAAAACTTCAGGTGTGTTCTTGTATAAGTCAAGTCTCTTTTTGAAAATACAGATTAGGTTTACTGTCAAAAAACAACATTTGTTTTGTTTTTTGACAGTAAACCTAATCTGTATTTTTAATCATAAATAATATTTTATTTTAATAAAAATTTAGCCAATATGGAAACATTGATTTGAATTTTCTACCATTTTTTAGGTTAAAAGGATGAAGAATAAAATAATAAATAAAATAATAAATCATTATTAATTGAAATATAATTTTGTGTCTTCCGTAACGGATGTTGTGTGTATAAACAGGGCCCTTTTTCAAATCTTGGTCACCTTTGTTGAAATTTATAATGCGTCTTCTTCTTCATTCAAGTCACTCCTTTGATTTTTTTTTTCTTCATTGTCTGTAAGGTCAAAGCCTTTTATCTCTGAGACTTTGACCCATTTTCTTTCTCTTTTCCTGCTCAGGTCTGGGAATCAAAGTTGTTGTCCGACTCTGTGGCTCGACTACAGCAGAATCCTAACCCTCCAAATTCCTCCTGGGCTGACAAACGTCAACAAAGACCCCAGGAGACACCAAAGAGAGGTGAGCAGTGAACTGAAGCCTCATTGTATCGGCTCATTATGGTGTCCCGCGGTGAGGAAGAAGCTATTTTGTAGCACCACAAGGTCAATATCTGAAAGCCTGGGCGATGGAGAGGATCAGCCGTGAGATTTTTAATTTGAGAAAGCGTAAAGGGACTTTCCCAGTGAAAGACAGTCTGTGAATTATAATGGAGTGGGGGATTGTACAGACGAGGTGGTGAGCAGGCAGATGTTTCTTTTTTTAATTTTACCAAGAGTTCTGCAGAAGTGAAAATGAAAAGGAAGCCACTGCTGTTGTACCACGTGTGTGTTTTAAGCTGTTGAAATCCTGCACAATATTTCAAGCATTTTAATGCTAACTATACACACACGCACACACACACACACGCTGATATATCAAGTTTCTCTGTGAAATGAACACAGGTGCAGTGTGACGCCCTGTGCTAAATATTCACGACCAACAGCTGTTTCCAGAAGCCGTATCAGATATTTCTGGGCTCCCTGGATTCACTTTCCCAGGAATTTTGATTTTACTTCCAAATAGATGTGAAAAGAGGAGCTGTCACACTCTATTATAGTGACCTCAATGATTCTGTGCCCTGCCCAAATCCAGCGGTTTTCCATAACAATGCAAATTAAAGGGTGTAAAGCTGAAGCAGACAAGACTTGTTATTTTCCACCCAAAGGACAGAGGTTCTTTACAACAAACTTGTCTGTACGCCTTGTGTAGACTTTGAAAGACTGCCAACTTGGAAGTTGTTTTGTACAAGACAATACATTTTTGCTGTTAGTTCAGAAGACTTGGCAACTGTCCTGAGAAAGTGAAGCTGGTGGAGCTGCAGAAGAACGGCGTGGAGGCCTGCTGTAGACGTAGACATGAGAGAAATCTGAGTTTCTACATCAATGAAAATCTATTTGTTCAATTTACTCACCCACGGCACGTCAAACAAACGTATCATACGGATGGACTTACAGTATTAGCTTAATGCTCGCCAACATGAATATTTACTGCTGCCGTTGGACTCTGTCCCACAGGACGTGTGTTTGAATTCAAAAACACGTTTTCTTCTGTACTCTGGGAATTTTCACACCGGGAATGTTGGTTGTGAGTTTTGTGGTTATTATGGTTGATAATATAAATTTCTCAATGCTTTCACCAACAGGACGTCGAACCCCGAGTTACGGTGAGTGCATCTGACAGATAAAAAAGTCATGTTACCGGATTGTGTGTCAGAGCAAATGATTACATTTGTTTGTGTGACGATTGTGTTTCTGAGTAAAAAGTGCAAAATGTTTGCTTTCTGAAATCTCAGAATGTAAACATGTGGTCCGTGTCTGGTCCTCGTCGGGGCCTGCAGGCCTGTTCAGTGCTCTGCTCTGAATGAGCTGCACTCATTGACCTACATCTTAGTGCAGTGAACTGCTGAAGTCACCGTCTGTGTGGCTCCACAGCGCTCTCCTCTCACACCCTGATTGGCTCCTCGCTCTGTCACTCTGTTTCTTTAAATCTGCCGCCTCTTAAACCAAAACATCTCTGACTGTAATCAGGGTTCTGTGGTGATAACGCTCTGATAATCTCCTCCATCCTTGGCATAAAAAGCCAAAGTCGTTTGTCTGATAATCTCCTCCATCCTTGGCATAAAGAGCCAAAGTCCTTTGTCCAAAAACTTGTCTTTTTGGCTCAAAAACAGTTTTACATTTTTTGCAAAATTAAGATAAATATCTCTGACGTTTGATCAAGACCAGACAGTGTCAGATGTCAGTGAGTTAATATGATTGTCCTCATGGTGGCGTAACGATGGATAAACACGGATATGTTACTCTCTCAGGGTTTAAAAGACCAGTCAAAGGACGAACAGGAAGAGAAAGTAACATTTGTACTGTATGAAGTACAGGTGTGTAGTGACAGTAGTAATCATAGTACAGCTGTCAACAAGACGAAACATTCAACATTCATCAAAAAGTGTTCAGTGTGAACAGAACCTCCAGATTTGTACCAACTTTTCCAGGAAGTGCTGTGTTTGTCTAACGTTAAAATAATGAAAGTCTCTGGACGTCAGTGAAACCACAAGATTCATGGACATGGACAGAAGATGGACTTGTCTTTGTGCTTCGACACTTGTTCTCATTGGACAATAACAGTAACTACTGACCTGGTGGTGAGACGTGATCATGTGACAGATACAGGATGGAGAACTGTAGTAATGTGGTAACAACACGTTGAAGTAGGGCAGTAACTGAGGGGCAGTAACTGTGGGGCAGTAACTGAGGGGCAGTAACAGTGGGGCAGTAACTGAGGGGCAGTAACTGTGGGGCAGTAACAGTGGGGCAGTAACTGAGGGGCAGTAACTGTGGGGCAGTAACTGAGGGGCCGGTCGGGGGC